ATATATATATATATAATTAGAGGACTATGAAGACAAATGACAGAAAACGAATAAATTACGGTTAGAAATGTCATCTGCTGTTTATTCACTCTATTTATTGAAATTCTACCGTACTAAGTGGATCATTACATTAATAATAACTTAATTTGTTCACAATGCAACTTTTTATTTGAGAAACATGTAGAAAGAAGAGAAAGTGGAAACTTAGGTTTCTAGAATGGATTAATCTGTTATCAATTTTGTCATGAATTGACATTAGCTGAGACACCATTGAGAAGAAATGGCATCGGATGATTATCGTGATAAATTTGAAACCCACAGTTTAAAAATAAAGGGATCACTGCAAGACTTAGAGTCGAAGCTTTGCACTCCTGAAGAATATCATATTAGGACCAAATATGCTCAGTTTCTTGGGTTTCAATTGCACCCTAAATTATATCCATCTGCGATCAAAACCTAACTACAAATAAAGCAAAACTTACCGGGATATTTAAAATCGGGAGGTATTTTGAACTAATGTGTGGAATCAGCTAGGGGACGTCTGAAAGCCACAGAGCACTGCCGACTCCAGCCTAGTTTAGCACTCTTTATGCACTTATGTATTCAAAAGAACACAGAATATACATCTATTTTATATAGTCATACATACAAGCTGACCTACATATCCACTTCACACTCTGATGGTTCATATGAGAAAACTTCTTGATGACAAATTTCTCTGCATTGTGTGATAGATATTTTCTTTTTTTATCTATCATTTCAGACACGAAGCCAGTTCAGTTCAATTTGTTAAGGCTATACACAAAGAATCTTTATATGCTTGGTCTAATAGTAATTCAATAATACCCAGAAATCTTATTACAACTATGCATCAGAATAATAGTCTATTAGCTAGACTTGGTTATATCAGTGGAAACATTCCTCCAGATTATGAAGAAATGTGTGAAGTTGATTTAAAATTGTAAATAAGAAAACCCAATAAGAATATCTTATTTCTTTTGTTCGTTTATTTATTAATATCTGTAAATTATGCTTCTAACCATATAGATTTATTTTCGATGTGTTTCTTGATAATGATTATTGGGCAATAATTCTACATGATTTGATAATGATATTTAGGGTTATAACGTTCGCGAAATTGCAAATATACCATACTTGGAAACGTTATTTTTCTTTGTGGGATAAGTGTTAATTCAATTCAAACGACAAAATATACTAGCATTGAAATGAACACGTTTAAGACTACAAATTGAAAATTTCATTGTAACTCACGTAAATCTTGAGATGATCAGATAAATGTATACAATAATATGACTATTTGTTTTTTCTTAGTGGTACAATTTAAGTAATTTACATGATAATCAGGTTCTAGTCAAACCGGAAATTGATTTTATTCGAATTAGCACCAGATGAAACCTCATACGGCGAAGCAGTGTTTAAACTCTTTTTGGAACTAGGTGTTCATTAGTGGAATAGTAGAGTAGTGATAGTCATTTCAACGTTTACAAAATACGTCTACACTCCATTAAATGTATAATACCATCATTTAAATCACTATCTAATTCTACTGAAACCTACTTATCGTTTACCTTCGAAGGCCGAGAGCATTTAGTTATGAAACATGGAAATTAGCCACGAACAAAACGTTAATAAGTGATTTTTAGAGATTTTTATCATTAATCAGTCCCACCAACCATTAATCAATGTTCAAACAATGCAAATGTTAACGTTTTCAAAGGTTTAAAAAAGTGAAATACCTTCATATATACATGTATTATATGGGTTCATGGCTCCTACTAACAGCTGTTAAGAAATATGAGACAACTGCTTACAACCAACTAATATCTAAATCGCTGTTAGTGTCCAGTAGAATTTGATATTTATGTATGAATGTTATTACGTTTCAAAACACGCGAAAAGCATTTCTATCAATGTCTCAAATAGTACAACAAATAACATACGAGAAAATCGTTTTAAACAAATGGAATATTTTATTTTCAGGATTACGGAAACACATTAACTAAGCAAAATGAGTATGTCTGCCACATTCACATAGTATTTGTAAGTGTGGAGTTTAAAGTACAGGATTTTTGTGAGCAATGATCGAAACATTTATCAGGAAAATAATTTAGCCAAAACGATAGACTAGTTTAGCCTAAAAACAATGTCCAAAGCATCGAAAAGAGATGATGATTCGATTATAAAGGATGAAAAATCGTATCATACATATGAGTATTAGATGGCAGTGGATTATAACGTATCCATTGATTTACGTCAATTGTATAATTTATGCACCTTGTAAAATAAGTATTTGAAATTTCATGTACATTTATCGAAAAAATTAGTAATCCAAGTTAAACAAATCAGTGATTTCTTAGACAGATGCCACGTTTTGTTTTGACCGCCACTAACTTCTCCCAACCTAAAAGTTGAAGAGCAAATATCGCGCACTGGTGGCTAGATATAAATGATACATGTTTCAAACAACATAGTCGAAGGAGATTCAATCTTATCAACCGGTACACCTAGTACACTGTATCAAACTTCATCATTGCTTCCTTGATGGTCCCAACATACGTGAGCAATGCCTTAAAGACATCTACGAATATATTTAACATTTAAAAGCCATGTTCCACGGCCGTCAGCTAAAACAATTAAAAGGGAATTATCTTCATAAAAAAGTATATACCTAGTTTAATTTAACCATGATTTGTAAATAGGCAGAAAACAACCGAACTACAAGAACTCAGTGGAAATAGTTCAAATTTATTGAATTTGAAATTGCTTAGAATAATGTTTGGGGATGACAAAAACTTTAAATACATCGAACATAGGTGGTTAGATGAAAAGGAAGAACATTGGATAAAGAGCAAATACAAATGCAATAGGTTCTCACATTTTTGCTGATACAGCCTTTTAGAACTCAGTTTACGTAGAAAAAAGACCAAGAATACAGCTGGTTTACAAAGAATGAACAGAATGCAATTAAAAATACAATCATGTGAAAATGCTTAGTATTATGTCAAACTAAAATCTGAGAACGCTAAACTCTTTCTTGAACAGATGTTATTTCTTTGACTCAGAATGATCCGTTATAGGGCTGAGACGAGCAACGTTTTCAAGCTGAGTACGTGTACTCGATATAACATTGGTAGTATCCGCCACTATAATGAAAATACACGTAAGAAATTTTTTAAAAAATTTAAATCAAATTTCAAAGAATTGAAAGATAGGATAATAATGAAAATACGGTAGATAATCGAAATTAGTTCTCCATATATCAATAATACAGAACGATGTAAATCGATAGTAATTCATTTTAGTCAGTACACAAAGTTACTAGTAATTTATATTGACTGTGAAGGTTCATTCGTACATATCCAATATGAGAAAATTGAACCTTATCCTAGAATACATTCCAAAATGAAAGATGTAATTAGTATATTAGAGTTTACAACGATTTATAGGTCATCCCTTCCGTTCGTACACAGATAAATCGGTAAGTCTAATCACTAAAATTATGAACGCTTGACCTCATTCAATAGCACTGTCGACCAACAATATAAAATTATGGACAGATTAGTAGTTGAATAGGACCAAAATATTAGTGTAGTAAATATTGTCTTAGTTATTAAATAAATGAACGGTGTAGTTGTTTCACCGATCTAATTTATAAAGTAAAAAAAATGGTGGACGGTGATATATAAATCCCAACTTACAATTTTTCGTTACAATATCTACACTTTGTAATAACTGATGATATTTACGACGATAATATTTTATTTCACTTTTTAATTTTTCACGTTCGCCTGAACTAAGTGATGATTTTGCTTCTAGTGGACATGTGTTTACATCATCTTCTTTTCTGGTCAAGTTACATGCATTGTTTACACTTCCCGCGCCTATGCATTGGATCCAATCGAGTAATTGACGAGAATCTCGTAAAATACTTTCAATAACATGATTATCAAACAGCTAAAAACAATTCCCCAAGAAAAATAATTAGGATATGCAAAAATATTACGAAGTGATAAAAAAAATCAGGATACAAGTGTGAATTAAATGAAACACGAAAAGCCCAGTCGATTAAAGTGTCCAGCAATATGAAGGTAAACATCGATTAAAAAGACACGTTAACATAGAATCTAGTAAACATGTAAACATATAGAAGCTAAGTATAATTCTAAATTAAAAATTCAAGAAACAGGGATACGTGGATATTAGGTTGACAAAATCCGAATAAAGTGATGTATCTGATTTTTAGATTTTGCTATTAAGTGTTGGAAACTTGGGACATAACTATAATGGAGTTTTAAAGTTGCCATGCTGTATGGATTACATATGCAGCTGACTGAAGCAGAATTAACTTAAAAGAAAGTTCATACACGTAGTTCCCTTTATTATCTTAAAGAGAGCAAGAACAAAGATTGGTGCAGAATAATATGAATTCATTTTATTTCGTTAGGTTCTCATCAGCTGCTTACAATCTAAATTATTTGAAATTCAAATTACTACAGATATTGACATATTTATACATAAGAGTGTGATTAAGGATCAATACATGTGTATGATGATGTAGCAAAGATTCAGATAGAGTTAATGAGCTCACAAAATGTTTGATTCGAATAAATAAATAAAGTTAGAAAGGGAGTTCCAGAACATTGAAATAGTGATTAGAACTCATGAAAATAGATTAATGGTAATAAAGAGAATATGAATTGAAATCAATCGCTTATGTATGATGTAATTTAAAAGAGTTGGAGTAATGACGCCATAAATAAAAAGAGAAATAAATGAATGAAAGGGGTTATTGTTACCAGGATAAAGAAAGATCTATTACTGTCTCTTTTTGTATACATAGATCTAGTTTTAAACGTTTGATTGCTATTGCTTCAGCAAATTTCAAAAGGTTGGAGTTTGATTGTTTGTTAATCAACTTCATGTCCTGTGTCAAGGATATGTCTTGTGATGGCACTGTTGAATGTGTTCAATCCATTTATTCTTAAACTTTTCGGAATATGTTCTTTGAATCGGACGTAAGCTCTCCTTTCTGTTCTGCCAACGTAACTGCTTTGGCAGATACATGTAAATTTGTAAACACAGTTGGTGGTAACATGAAAGGGATACCTGTCGACTTTGGATTGTGTCAAAGAACATGTTGTTTTGGACAGGACAATCAATTTCGCTGCAGGATAAGTTCTTGTCAGTGCAGTTTTTAGTCTCATATTGATTGATCCTGTGACATCTTCACTTTTGAATTGAAGTTGAGTAAAAATAGGCTTTTATTTGCTGTAATATCTCTGGGTTTCTTATCTTAACGTTTGCCATATTTCTCAATAAATTTCAGTGGGTATCCGTTATTCTTCAAACATTTTTTAACATTCATAACTTCCTATTCAAGTGTATCGGAAGTACATATTCTTTCTGTTCTGTGAAACAGTGTTTTGAGCAGTGCCTTTTTGTAACTGATTGGACAAAAGCTATTGAAACTGAGATAACTACCATTCCATGTGTCTTTCTAATAAACTGAACGTTGAACTTGTTTTCTTTTTCATGTTCCATAGTGAAATGGATATTTGGATGGGTTTCGTTGAAAAACTGTAGCAGATTTATTGCATGTTGTTGATTATTACATACGGTGAAGGTATCATCAACATACTTCGAATAATACATCATTTCATCAACCGCTCGTTTGAGTTTCGTTCTTTCGAGGTTAGCCATGAAAATATCTGCTAGGACAGGACCTAACGGACTTCCCATCGTTTGTATATGATATCATTGAACTGGAACTGAACATCTTTTGTACAAATGAGTAATAGTCGTTTGAATTCTGGTACTGGTAGAGATAGAATGTCAGAATGTTGACAAATTATGTCTATGGTTTCAAGAAGTGGTATTTTTGTAAACAATGATGTTACATCAAAAGAAACCATAAACTTACCAGCAATATTTATGTGATTCATGCTGTCAGCAAATAAAAAGGAATCCTTTAGTGTATAGGTGGCTAATCGTTGACGCACTGGTTCTAACTTATCTGCCAACCATCGTGCAACTTTGTGATATGGTGAATTGATCATTGACAAAATAGGTCTGAGAGGATAACCTTGTTTATGTATTTTCGGTAATTCATACATGTGGGGCAAACGAGACCCACGAGGTCGTAGGTTATTGTAAGTAGAGCTATCGATCGTTTTCTTTTTCAGAAGATCTCTGAGTACTTTGGTGATTCTTTTCTCAATGGAATCAGTTAAGTCTTTGTTACTTTTTTCTAATTTGAATCTCATATGGTCATCCAAGATGGACTTCAACTTAGAGACATAATCTGTTTTGTTCATTAGAACAACACTTGAGCCTTTGTCTGACCGTAATATCATTAAATCATCATTTCGTTTAATATTTCGAATCAAACATTTTGTGAGCTCATTAACTCTATCTGAACCTTTGCTACATCATCATACACATATACTGATCCTTAATCACACTCTTATGTATAAATATGTCAATATCTGTAGTAATTTGAATTTCAAATAATTTAGATTGTAAGCAGCTGATGAGAACCTAACGAAATAAAATGAATTCATATTATTCTGCACCAATCTTTGTTCTTGCTCTCTTTAAAAGAAAGTATAAAAATGACAGACCATGACTAGTCAGCAAAGTTATAAACTGCTGGTTTGATTAGAATAAGGTGTAAACCTAGTGATAAATCTTCAGAATAACAAAAGTCAACTGTACGAGACTCTAAATAAATATATCAATCATATGTGTTCCCATTATTTTCGTATGACATTTCAATTGACTCCTCATTTTCTGTTCAGTTCCTTTTCATTCAATATGTTCTACATTTATTCTTTATTTATTTCGTTATGAAATTTAAAACTTGTAACCAATGTACTTTTTACAGTGTAATACATCTGACTGTTTGTCAATGAGTCAGGTCCATAAATTTGGCTGCAAGCACTGGTTATCACAGGTAAGTTTACAAAGAAATATTTGATAAGATGAAAACAGACGCATCAATTAAGGAACATTGACTTATTTTGAAAAAGTATCCGGTTTAAAAACTTCATTCAATAATACGACGTACATCATTTTGACTGCATAGACTTTCCAATCTTCTAATAATACTAATGAGCAAATCAGTTGACTTGTCAACATTAACTGTAAAACAAAGAGATAGTAAACTTTTGGTTGGCAACGAATCATGAAAATCTACGACAAATATTCGGTAATGAAAAATGAAACTTAAAATAGGTATTATAGATGAAATGTTCAATAGAAACAGGGATCAAGGATACACTGCCTTCAGAGAAAACTACTTTCTTGTATATAGTGATTTTCTAAAGAAAAGTTATTAACAACAGAGAAGTAATCGTTGAGATATCAATAATCAATGTACCTCAAATAGTAAAACTAAACAGCTTAAACACTTCTTTCGTTCATTAATGACTAAACTTACAAAACAACAGACTGACCATTCTTTTTGTACTAGTGATATCAGTGTTTATAACTATACATTCAGAATAACATAAATCAAGTAAATATGTTATCGAAACGTTTACGTGTTCATGACTGATTGGTAGTTTTTCAACTAAATGGGCATCTGATAATTCAGATACCTTTAAAATATCACCAAAATGAACACAGAAGATGATAAATCAAATCGGCTTACTTGATAATATTTTTTGACATTTAAAAGAACATTTTCCACATCGATTAACAAGAGACATACATAAATGATCCATTTTCCTTGCATAATAATGCAGCCTTACATGAGCATAATGAAGAGACTGAAATAGATTTGGAAGAAGATAGAATGATACAATCATTTCAAAATGTTAAATCAAAATAATATTAATTTTTTGTACAATGAGACAAGAAAATATAGAAGAGAAATAAAAAGTACGCTGAATAATCATGAATAATAAATAAAGATTGAATCTAAATAATCATATATTCAATCAGATATATTTCTAGGACAACAGTAAAATAAATACGTAGTGCTTGAACACAAATTTAGTATCATGTATCATCCCAGCTCGGAAGCTATTTATGAGTGCACTGAGATTTGATAACGAAAACTTTCCACACTGAACGGCGTCACAACGATTTAGTAGACGCAATCAGAACAGTGAACACCAATATTCGTTTGGTTGTGTGAAAGTTGAATCAACAAAGATTACTTAAGAGAAGAATGACTATCAGTGAAGAATATTTAGTCAGTAAGTCTACAAGATAAATATTGAAATTATCGTGGAAATAAATAGAAAGCGATGACGGGAGAGCGAAATCCAAGTTACAAGAGCAATTTTTACTGTCTTCGACTTGTATAAAGTATGAGCCTTCATACAAAACAACAGAAAACTGAATAAACTATTTTAGATGGCTGTTACAGTTTCCACAGAACTAAAAACCCTTTGTGAAAGGAAACATTTCCACATATTCACAGTACTAATGATAATAAAATTATTGGCTAGTTGAATACTTCTCCATAAATCTCGAACCTAGTCACTGAAAGACCACTGCTCTAGCTGGTAACTTACAGCTTAAGGACAAGATTTTTACAGGGTAAAATAGATGATTGAAGAGTTAAGCTATTCATGAATACAAAGCATAAAAGATAAACATTTCAACTAGGCAAAACCAAAAACAGACTCGGTCAAAATTAGATATTAAAATGAAAACAGTGAAATGAATTGATGGATTACATTGTCATGATTGACTAATAACTTACCTCTATAAATGTTTTCATATTATCCATTATGCCAGACTGATCAATTAAACCAATGTTATCAGCATGTGAAATTTTTACTTGATTATCAACCAATGATTGAGAATATGGCATTGATGATAATGATAATGATCCATGTTGTTCTACATTGTTCAAAACATCTAATAGAGAATCTTCATTAGACAGATTTGAAGTGATCAATTTCTTTAATTCTACAGTTGTACTATGCAATTCAGGCAGCAGTTTGTTCAAGTTATGACATTGACTAATAGTTTTACAAGTATTTGTTTAACAGAAAAAAATATTTTTAGAAAAGATAGTGAACTAATTAATTAAGAGTTACAATGAATAGTAATTTAAAAACGAAGAATATTTGAGCGAACAATTGTTTTCAATAACTTCATCAGGCTCTACAGTCATAAGTCCATAATTATAATATTTTACAAAGGCCAAAAAAGGCATGTTTTAATGAGTTTGACAATGTTATGTGTTAAAAATGGTGAACGTTTGTAAATTAAGCTAAGCAGTTGAATTTGATCAAAATTTTAAAAGAATGAAACTTTATTTTAATAAATTAACCAGAGGGGGTCACTAGAAATAGTATACAATTTGTGCTGTCAGTAGCTGACAATGAAAGAAAGTACTGATCCATTAGTGTCCTGTTCAAAAAATTCCTACCAGCCCACAAAATCACAATATTTGTAAAATTTTCAATTTTGAGTCAGTCAGCTACAACGTAGGATCAGGTACATATATGCATCAGTCAAAGTTGCCATACCTCATTAACACAACAAGAGAGACACCGGATTCATAGAAGTAGTTAATTCAGAGGTGGCAATATATGAAAGAAAGATTGCATATAAAGTTATAGTACAGGAAGAAAGAATTAGTTCGTAGAAAGAAAGATATGGAGCGAGCTTAATCTCTCAGTTTAAGGGAAGACAGAGAGTGTATACTCCAACGCCGTTGTGATTGGTTCTGAGCCATATCGCCAAGAGCCTCCAACCACTCCTTACGACAGTCACGCGGACCCCAACCAAGTAGTCTGCACCTATCAAAATGACTCAGACTAGAAGTTAGTGACTTCAAGCACTGACGCCACGTTTTGGCTTGGCCGCCCATAACTTTCTTCCAACTATCTCCAACACCGGTTAGCATTGCACGTCGTGGTAATTGGTGTTCAGGCATACGTAACACGTGGCCCAACCATCTCAGTCGATGAAGATTCACAACCTCATCAACTGATTTACCATCATTCCTTAATACCCTGCGTCTAACCTCACGATTACTTACCCGGTGATCCCAGCAGACGCCAGCAATATTTCTAAGGCATCTGTGGTCAAATACTAGTAGCTTACGAGTGTCTTCTACTCTTAATGGCCATGTTTCGCTGTCGTAAATTAAAACAGAACGGACTGCCGCGCAGTATACTCGTCCTTTTATTGATAGACGGATGTCTCGCCTTCGCTATAGGCGACGTAAGTTGGCAAAAGCCAAACGAGCTTTTCAAATCCGTGCTCAGATTTCGTCAGACACCAACCAATTGGGGCTGATCAGACTTCCAAGATAAGTGAAGTTGTCAACGCCTTCGACTACTTCACTTCCTATCCCTAGTTCAGGTGTTGACGCAGACCAGTCCTGAAGCAACAACTTGCATTTAGAGTGAGAGAAGCGCATTCCAAACATTCTGCATTGTTGCCTTGTGCTACCAAAAGACTCTGCATTTTATCAGCATCTTCACCAAACAGGACTATGTCATCTGCGTATTCTAAGTCGATAAGTGGACCTCCTGGAAGGAGATCAATACCCGAGAATTCAGTCGATGAGAATGTTATTTCTATCAATAGGTCTATGATGAAGTTAAACAAAAATGGACAAAGGGGACAGCCTTGACGGACACCACTTGAGGTTGCAAAAGCAGATGACAGTTCGCCATAAGCTCTGATTCGACCAGTGATGTTCGAGTATAGAACCTTCACAAGGTTTATGTACTTCTGAGGTACGCCTTTCAATGACAGACACTGCCACAGATTCTCGCGGTCCACAGAGTCAAATGCTGCTTTTAAGTCAAGAAACACCACCATTGTCGGACGCCGATAGGTATGCCTGTGTTCTAGAACCTGACGATTGATGAATATGTGGTCGATGCAGCCACGACCAGGTCTGAAGCCAGCTTGATTTTCTCGTATTCGCAGTTCACGAGTCTTAGTTAGGCGTCTGATAATTATCGAGGCTAGTATTTTAGATACTATATTAGTTAAACTAATCCCTCTATGGTTGCCACATGATGATTTTGACCCTCTCTTATATATTGGGAAGATAAGTGATGGTGACCAGTCAGATGGAATAGCGTCTAACTCCCAGATCTTAGCTAAAATATTAGTCAACCTAATCGCTAAAATTAGACCACCATCCTTAAAGACCTCTGGAGCCAATCCATCTGGACCAGCTGCCCTTCCTCGTTTCAGATTAACTATAGCCTTTTGAACTTCAGCACGAGTTGGGGGACCTACTTCAATGTTCCATTCGCACTGTCTGGGAATGGAGGGTAGTTCTAGAGTAGCTGAAGGCCAGCTGAATTGTTCGCTTAAATGTTCCAGCTATCGTTCTAAACGAGTGGACTGAGAGTAGATGAGGGTGTTGTCTTTTCCGAAATAGTCTCAATTACACCTGACTTCTTAATTCCAGTTTCTTTTATTAGTCTGTAGAGTTGTCTTGTCTTACCTATAGCCACCGCCTTTTCCATCTCTTTTGACTTCGTTGGCCACAACTGCTCACGGTCGTTCCTTAAACTTTTCCTAACCTAGATCTGATTTGTTGTAGCTCTTC